GGGGGGGCGTGTGTGTGTGTGTAGGGGGGAGGTACTGGTACAGTCAGTAGGTGCGCAGCAGTACGCAGAGGTGAAAGCTCAGAGTGACAGTGTGTGTGATCTCTCTCTCCTGCGTGAGAGAACATGGGACATATTTGGATATCCGAGAGCATTTACAGCACAAGCAATAATATCCAGCGGTTCGGATTATCGTTTAATCGCTCACCTTCCGCGCCTCGCCCCAGAACCGCCTGATAACGCGCAGAGATCCATAGCCGAGCAGCGTGAATTTACATGAATCTTTGCTATTCAGAGAAAACGAGCCATGATTTGTGCCAGACGCGCTAGCATCGGCTGCTCAAGCTAACTGAAGCGCGACTGTGGATATCTTCCTTTTGTCAGCCTAAAGTTTCTTTCTCACATTTCAACAGAAATATGTTGTAATTGTGAGGAGTTTATGCTGGACTAGAGAATTATGGTATAAAATCGGCGTTATACGCCTGTTGTTGACTCGCTAGGCTCATAGCTAGTAGCGCTAGCCGATGCTGTTACTCCATCTGAACATCGGCTCGTCTTTAATGTGTTTTAATTAGTGTTACAATAACAAATATACATTCTTATTAGTAATATTGTCATAACCGTGCAGGTGGTTACTAGATAAAATTGTAATGAGATTATTTCTTTGTGTTGACAGCTTTGGAGGCGCATGCTAACAATGCACTAGCTCGATAGCTCAATTGCTTTTCTGTTATAGCAATAACTTGCCATGATGAAATATTTGTTTTGGTAAATGTTTTCCAGAACTTTTTATTTTGTATCATTAACGATGATTTGAGCTTGTGTGAAGACATGCAAACAACCTAGCTGTTCAGTTTGCCAGCCATTGAAGCATTTGTACATTTATATTATTTTAAGACTGGAAGAGTGAATACGGCTGGGCATTTTAAAGATTAAACACTTCTAGATCTGGACTGGAAGGGTGGGAAATAGTTTGATTTTCGTGTGTCTGCAGATTTGGCCTTACGCCCTTTCAAAGATAGACCTGACACAAGAGACTCACAGACCCCCGGAGCTCTGGAGGAATCAGGGTCCATCTTTGGCATCAGAGAGGGACACACACAGTTGTCTCCTGTTCTTTGCTCTGACTCTGGCTCTGATGTGAGCAATCATGGGCACCCAGGGCAGCCCTGTGAAGAGCTACGACTATCTGCTCAAGTTCCTTCTGGTGGGAGACAGTGATGTGGGGAAAGGAGAGATCCTGGACAGCCTTCAAGACGGATCTGCTGAGTCTCCATATGCCTACAGCAGCGGTGAGTTAGTCAACACTTCCCACACATCTTCACGCAGAACGCGAGTAACACATCCTTCAGTCAGAATAATCTCACATCAACAAGGCCGTCGCTCCGTGAGCCATTCATATAATTGTGGTGTTAACAGGTTTACCAAATATCACGTTCAATTTTATGTTTTTGACTATGGTGAGTAGGGTTGGGCCAATAGACGATGCCATCGTCCATCGCCGATGGCTGACAGACATCACGATGTTG